CGTCAACCTGTCTATCACAGGCTGAACCCTGACGTGTTCTTCATGGCTGCAGGTCAGAACCCTGGTAGCTCCGGCCCCGCGGGCCTCGCAGGCCGCCGCGGCCCCGCCCCGCCCGCTGCTGCTGCTACAGCAGGAGCTTGGGGGCGATGGGGGCCGGGCGCTCATGCCCCCGCCCCCGCGCCCGCCCTGGCCGCGATGTCACCTTTGTGCTGGCCACTCGTCGCGCACCCCGTGGGCTCCGCAGGCACCCGGTACGTCCTCGCGCCCTCGAGGTCCCCGTCGACGGCCTCGGCCTCTGCGGCGGGCCCGAGGCTGGAGGCGCGGGTGTGCGTGCACTACGGATGGTGCTAGTCAGAGTGAGTGTGATGTTTCTGTCGCCCCGTGCGTGGCCGGTGTTGGTGGACTGCATCATCTGGGAGTGCGCACAGTGTCATGCAGAGCGAATGAAACGGGGGGTGGACGGTTGAACTGGGCGGCGGTTAAGGGTTTATTGAGCTCGCTGGTGAGGTGGATGTCAACTAACAAACGAATGAATTGTTTTTGTTTCAATTGTTTTTTCGTTTTGTCCGCAGATCGGTCGGCGGCTGACGGGCTGAGCTGGCGATCGAGGGACTATCGCCACACCCAAGTGTAACCCTCCGCGGGCCGTACCTCCACGGTCAACGTGCTACGGGAGGATCTCGCCAACCTCATGTCAGAGTGTACTTCGCAGCAGGCGACCACACAACTCAAATAGATGGATCCCTTCCACTGTTCGGCGGGAACTTGATACATAACTACTTCTACTAATATGCTTTTCGTCAACGTTTCACAGTGGGTGGATCCTTCACCCGGCGGCAATTTGAGTCGGTGCAAGTCTGATGAAACGCTTGGTGGCGAAAGAGACTGTAATTGTGATAATCTCAGCAACATGACCAAATGCATTTCTTGTCAATGAAAAACGTACTTCTTACATAGTGTACATACCTACATCACGCATTTGACTTTTCCTTCGTCAAAATGCAATCTATTGTTATGTGTTGTGTATAGATGTAATTTTGAAAAAATATAATAAACAATTTATTTACCTGTGTAGATTTTACTTTTACCACACACAACCTCATTTTCAACAATTTCAGTTTAGTTTTCTTTGCAATACATAAAAATGCCGTAAGAAGACAGGGAAGTCCAACAGAGAGACACGGCGGTCTCAGCAGATTCAGCTCTGGATAGTGCCACTGCTTGATGCTTGAAAGCAAACCATTGTAACAGACAATTATCATTTCGAGATCGAATTTTCGTTCTGGAAATAATTGACTCCACTCAAAACAATTCGGATTTAGCATGAAAAATCCTCCTCACAGCGGACATGAAAAGTTCCGTAACGCGACGGAAGATATCGGTACAAGGTTAGTGCTCCACGTTACGTTGAGAGACCGCGGTAACTTGAAACTCCGGTACGTCACGTCAACAATTTTGAAAAAGAGAATTATCCAGGCGCAAGGACAACAAAACATCTGTGGGTGCTAGCGAGCGACCGGGCCCAGTCGGTGCCTACGAGGTAGGCAACTTATCGAGCGCGCTCCCTCCTCGCCTCCCGCTAGGTAGGCCACCCAACCTGCCCGTGACGAAGTTGACGTCGTCGGACGCCCCGTCCCGTCCCGATCTCATCGGCCCGGACAAGGTGGGCAGGGTCGCGTATTTTCAACGGCGTGTCGTCTCCGTTGGAGGTTGGGGACAGCAAAGGTGGCTCAAGTATAGTAGGGTGTAAATTTTCCACTGAAACTACGACGCTTTCATCACAACGAATTTCAAGCGCTATCAGAAACAAAGAGGCTTTGATGGGCTTCGAACACCATATCATCTCACGAGGAATTGCAGTACTAAACGTATGTTGACAGTGTACCGCGTCAATATTTGATGACACTTGTAGTATTTTGTTTTGTTCAAAATGTGTAATGCTCTAAGGTGAACTAAGGCAAATTGTGCTGAATGTCCTGTGCTGTAGACGAATCAAAGTCTCGCCTTGCCTTGCGGGCTTCGGGGTTGTAGTGAAAGACCAGTTTGGAGATGTTAATTCAACAGCATATGCATATAGTCAAAAGTCCAAGGAAGTGAACAATTTCCTCCGTCGAGTACATAATGCTACTGTGCGCAGGACCTTTCCCTGCAACCTCTGACGGCCCCCCTCCTTCCATCCCGTGACGTGACGTCACAGGCGCTGCTACTTTTGAACCTACCGCGCAGCGTTGCCGGTCGTGGCTCTGCGCGCGCTGCCAACCTGTCGGAGCTTAACTAGTGGTGCGAAATGAAATCAGTACGCGTTTTTCGCTTGTGTTTAGTATTGCATATGAATCGTAATCAATTTTGAAAGTTTCAGAAATTTCTGAGTGGCTGAAAAGTTGATCAAAAAGCATTTAATATTCCAAAAATTAGAGACCCATTGCTTTGGTACCTCTGTGCCCGACCTTGAGATGTCCCCTCTTCAGCCAACCAACGTCAGTGTTTTGAAAAGCCGTCCAATCACAGAGCCTGTTACAAAACTACCTGTCAGGGTCAACAAATCCTGGCTGCTTTCGTCAAATAGTTGACAATCGCGCAGCCATATTGTATTGAGTTTTACTACTGTGTCTAGAAGTGCCATGATTTAATTACAACTCGTATTTACAGTGGTGTTACTCTGCGTACTTTGGTTTCGGGACCCGTGGATTACGCCCCTGACGTGTGGCACTAGTGTCGTGTGTGTGCGAGTGTGTATGGTGTCTGGCAGTAGCGGCCAGCGGCAAGATAACAGGACCTTGAAACTGCGATGTAAGCTGTCTGTAAGCTCCCTGGAATGTGTGAAGTGTAGTGTGGCCGGCAAGGCAATTGAACGAAAAGTGTTAAAATCTGTCCGGGAGCATCCTCCAGCCCCGCGGCCCGCGGGCCGCCCAGGCCCGGACAAAAACTGTGAACAAGAGGGCCGCCTAGCCCTGCCGTCAGGCCGTGCCAGGGTCTGCTCGGCCACAGGCATGCACTGTAAGTACCTCTGTTGTGTTCTTTTGCTGTCACTCCTGGAACTGCAAGGTTACACCAACTTGTGAGACTGCTCACATGTTTCCACTTGATAAGTGAGCTGACAGCAGAGTCTGCGACTAAGCTGGCAATTGAACCTTGTCGTCTGAGGTTCGACGACAGTGGTAGTCTTGATTTAAAAGTGATTTCTTTACGGGGCTAGTGATTAAATATTTGTGTATCTGTCTGTAGTACGGTGTTACAATTCTGTTGTCTTAAGCCACTCTTTGGCTGTTCCTATTATTTTCTTTGTGTACGAGTCATTGTCTAATGTTTTGGATGGATTGTTTACATTGTTTGGGGCAACATTTTAGCGGCCCGTGACCATATAACTCAACTTTGTGTATTCAGTAAAATCTTTATATTTTAACTCCTTATATCAGTATAAATGGTTTTCTTGTTTTATCCATTTGTTTGTATCAGTGCATATAGACAGTCAATATCATTTGAATGGTGTCAATTATTTTTTCTAACTTATTCGTTTGGTTGTAATATCAAGTATTGTGTCACACCTTCTAAAGTGAACAGTTTTTTTTTCACATCCTTTTCGTTATGTGCTTGATGGTCTCTCAAGATAATATTTCTATTTTGCATTATTCTTTCAATAACCTTGACCAACATCTTGTCAGAACCACGGTTCACAATTAAAATTCAAATATTTTCAGTACTTTGACGGACATTTTACTGTGCACTTATGTGTCTAAATTGTTACTCTTTGGATGTGTGGTCCTTTTATTTAGTTTGATAATCCATGGAAGAAATCTTTTGCATGTTCTTCATAACCTAGATTCAACTAAAAATTTTTGACTGAGCTAGTTCCTATTACTGTAGCACAATTTAGAAAAAAAACTGTACTTGGCTTAATTTTCTGTGCACTTTTGATCAATGGCTGTGTTTTTGTCAAAATGTCACGAGTATTATATTGTCAAATTTAGAGGTTAGGATGTCCACACCTGTTTGTTTTTGTTCGCTCTTATTGGGAGGTTTGTCACTCATTTTGCTGGTTGTAGTCTAGGCAAATTTATTCACCTGTATTCCGTGCTTAGAGTTTCTTTACATTCCAAGTATGAAGTATTTGTATAACAGACAAATGGGCAAGTGTGAATGACTGTTAGGTGGGAGTTAGATATAGCGGAAGAGATCAGACTTCAAGATGTAACAACAACTCTTTATGGATGTGTTTTGCATATTTCATTTTCTAATGTTTCCATCATACTGTATGATTTCAGCTTGTTGTATACCAGACTTAATTTTCCCATTATTTCTATTTGGATTTTTAAAATCTTTTAATACTGAAATTTTGTTGAAACCTCTCTTTACAAAGCATACATATTAAGAAAGGTCTTAGTTTAATCATTGTATATTTTTATAGCCATTTTTATATTTTGTAATCAGTGAAGGTCAACTCAGCCAAATTATTGGTAGTACAAGAACATTTGCCTTAATCAATCTCTTACACATTTTAAAATGATTCTGTTGCTCATCATTAGAATTACTTTTTGACCCATTTTTTTAATAGAGCTGTTGTGTTTTATTTAATACTAATATCTCTTAAGAGAAGTTTTGTAGTTGGTTACCGGTACATAAAGCATAGTAGGGCACAGGATCGGAAGTACTGTACACTTGCATTAAAACCATGGGGCTGGTCATGTGCTGTGCATAGAGGGTACTGTACTACCTAGACCTAGGACACTCTTGTACTATCTTGCTTGTTTGATTACTACCGCTAGGGTAACTATGATAGTGTGTGTACAGTACCCTTCATAAGTTTATGATGACCAGCATAGCAGAGAAACTTGCTCAATGCATTCAAAACAAAAAGAAACAAAGCATTGTCATAAAAGACAATGGTCTGTTGAATAAAATGAATACAAGCTCATGACTTTAAATTTGCATTAAATTATTGAGACAAATGCCATCCAAATCAATTTCTAAGGTTGACAATATTTTCTTTCCTGACAATTGCATAAAAACAATGTCTCTTGCATTGGATCTTAATTTTTCACAAAGTGCGCGCCTTTAAATAGGCGCTTCATTCTAATGTAAATTCTACAGTAAATTAGAAAAAAGGGCCCAGTGAAAAATTAATTGTTAAATATTAAAGTGTCACTGTGTCACTAACAGTGTCACTATTGTAGAGAGGTGGCTGTGTGCACCCTTTACTACCACGCTCGACGACCGGACGCTCCTCAATTTTGCACAAAGTTTGCGGTTTTAGTGTAAGGGGCGTGGCGGGGAGTGACGAAGAGGTGAGGTGGAAACGGGAAGGCGGAGCTGGGGGGAAGAAGAAAAGACACTAGAAACTCTGAATCATTGATCGCAACAAACTGTTGTGCTCGCTGCTGGGAATTGTTAGCAACGGGTGCTTTGCTAACGGTGAGATGTGTGCAAATGTGTGTTGTGTGTGAATGCGTTTGCATGTACTGGGAGAGGGGGGGGGGAGAATACCCTACGCAGGAGAAAGGTCGGGGGTGCGGGGGTAGGGAGGGGGGCGTGACGTCGCGTGGTTGCACTTGCGGTGTATCTATCGACCCAGTGTACGCCGCTGCCCTCTGCGCTCCGCTCCCTCCGCCCTGCAGCGCTACCCTGGTGCTGCCCGTAGCCCTCCTGCCGGCCCCCCTAACGCAGCCGCGGGCAGCTGCGGGAATCGCATCGATGTGGTTTTTCCACTGGGCCCTTTTGATCATGCATTGTGACAATAGTAATTATTCTGTGTGTATTAAATTGACTGCCTGTAAAAACACCACTCTCCCCAAAAAAGGAATTTCTTTCCCTAAAATGAAAGTTTTAAAGGGTTGTTGTTGTTTGTGCCTTAAACATTCGAATCAATGACCGGAGCGCTTAACTGTAAAAACAATCCATCTTAATTTTAAAAAACGCGAGGTTCAAAGCAATTTGAAAAATAAATTTGCTCTTAAATTTAAGAATGAATGTTTCATGAATATGAAGAACATGTACCTACGCACTTCTCCGAGCACTGCTATCGCACGTCGCCGTACGCTGGGTGTTTGCTTGGGGGGAGGGAAGTCCCTATAGTCCCTTCGCATTTTTCCGACGTTGTGTTGAGATGTTGGGAGATAGTTTAGCAGGCGATTATGCCGCGCTTGGGTCCAGCCCAGTGGCGTCACGTTGTGCATATTACATCATTTCGGCCCTGGTCGGCCCCTGGGCCCCCGAGCCCCCCGGCGGAGCTCGATTTGACAGGAACGCGAATCGGATCGGGAGGAGGACTGACTGGTCCGATGGAAGGATTCCTCTCGGGGCGGGGCGGGGCGGGCTGTGGTGGGGTGTGGCGGCCGCCAGCTGTTCTGGCACTAGTCCTCTATATTCTAGCTGTTTGGAAGCGCGCGAGGGAGAGAAAGAGTGGGGAGAAGAGGAAAGGGGGGAAGAAGGAGGGGAGGAATTTGCTCGAACGGCTATGGCCTGCTAATGGGCTTCACTGCAAAACATGCGATATTTTTTTAGGAGCGTGTCCAAACCATATGATGTGCTAGAAGTTCAAACATCGTGCTGCCCTCCCTCTGTGGAGTATTATCATTATTTTTTTCCCGTGTCGGTTCGTTTGGCTCCGTTTGGCGAGTCACGCAGACTCGCGAGTAATGTGTACATGTGTGTAACCTTTTTTTTTGTTTTGTACTTTTTACATAATTCCATGTTGTACTAGTTTAACTGTTCTGAATGAATTATTCTCATTTCGATCGGCATTTTACTGCCTACCTTTTCTTTGAAAAAATGTTATTACATGTAGGCCTATAATGTAGTTTATTTTCTCGTACACTGACAAAATATGATCAGATAAAAATATGTATTTGGTTTGGACGGGTTTTTTTTGTTTGTTTTTTTGTTAAAAATTGGCGGAGGGGCTGATGTAGGCTTTTGGCAGGCACCCCGCTCCGCCCAGCTTCGTTCCGTTTCGGGTCCTGTTGGGTGGATGGATGGATGCTCTTATCGAGATGAGAAAAGGGCGGCACAGATCTAGCATCGGCGGCACAGTCCGCCGCCGGGAGCGAAGGGGAAGAGGGGATCGGGGGCGCCTCTAACGGGATCGAGTGGCTGGGATCAGCAATGAAGGCAACAACAACGAAATATTGCGGCACCTCATCGGATATATTTACGGGGAAATTGAGTTCAGCAAGCTGGAGTGAAGCTGCAGCAGCAGCAGCAGCAGCAGCAGGAGCAGTAGTAGGAGCAGCAGCAGGAGCAGCAACGAAAGGACCCGGGTGTATAATGTAAAAGGAAGAGTTAAGGAAACGATTTGAATAGCCGTCGGTTTAGTTTGAGCCGCGCGCGGCTAATCTAGCGGCAGGTGCTCTGGAGACAAAGGAGGTATTGGCAGGTGTTTCCAGTGCGGCGGGCTGGTCTTGTCGTGGAATAGGCTTTTTGAGCAGTACACTGTGTGTGTGTGTGCTCGTGTGTGTGTGTCCGCGCGCGCTCCTTGCGCCCCCTGTAATTATCCTGGTGGCCGTGCTGCTCGCCCTGCGGTCCTCGTCGCACACACGCCCGTGTGCGCCTGGAGCACACACTCTGCCTGGAACGCCTGGAGCTCCCCGCCTGGGGGGCGCGCGCCTTTGCGGAGAGGGAGAGAGACGGCCAGGTGCGGTCGCGCAAGTGGCGGTACGGCGGCAGGGCGTCGCAGACCGGCAGCAGGTGTTTTATGCACTGTCATTTGGAGTGTGCAAAGCAACAAACGCTAGTGGTGCAACTCTGTGTGTTTTATGCACACACACACACATGTCGCGGGCGGTTTTATTCGCGGGGGAAGGACCACACGGTGGTAAAAACAATGTCTCATTTTCTGAGGAAAAAGGGAAAACTTTTGAGGACCTCCCATGTTTGAGGAAGAGTCCTCCGATCACGCCTTAGATTTTGAGGTATCTTCTCAGAAATGAGGAAAAATCCCACATTTTTTTAGGAGACTTCCTCGAAATCTGAGGTTATCTTCGTCAAAGCAGGGGAGTTCCTCAAAGTTTTCCCTTTTCCCTCAAAAAATGAGACATTGTGGTTTTTAACGTGCATACACCGACCGCAATCGAATGCATGTTTGTGAATGAGCGGGTGTTCAGCTGCGAGTCCTTTTGATGGTCCTTCCCCGCCGTCGCGCCCACGCGCTCGTCTCCGTCCCTATACCCTCTGCCGCCATCCCGGACCGTGCATCCATCCCACTCTGCTGCTTCTCCTGCTGCTGCTCCTGCTGCTCCTGCTGCTCCTGCTGCTCCTGCTGCTCCTGCTGCTGCTGCTGTAAGCTCGCAGATGGCTGAAATGTTTTGTTGCGCTTCAGCTTCAAGGGCCACGCCAACGGGGCGCAGGGCTTGCTGTGCGCGGCGCTTCTATGCTCTCTTATCTGTCTGAAAGCAGCCAGGGGCTGGGCTGGGCTGGGCTGGGCCCCGGCGCTATGGGCGTGCAAGGGCTCTATAGGCGTGTATATAGTCTGGTATGGGGAGCAGCGCGGGGGCGATGCTGGGCTCAGATGTACGCTCTGTGCGCCTGGACACTGCAAGCAAAATCTGAGGGACCGGGGGGGGGGGGGCATACGGGATGGGGCCCATCCGCTAGCCTAAGGCAAAGAACTTGCAAATAACATAATTTATGAAGTAAGAGCCCCGTTTGCGTCTCTCGAACATAGACCCACCAGACTCGTTTACATCTGTATGCTGTTTATTATAAGTGTTCCCAGACAAATGTTTGTCAACCCTTTTATTTATTGACACTATTTTTTTCGTGCAGGTGACCTGTCGCCCAGGAGGCCCCCGCGGATCCTCCCACCGGTACAGTACGGTAAGTATTATTATTGTGTTCCTTTCAAAATGAGTTTGAATTTGTCGAATTGTGTGCACAATAAAGAGATCATTTCAAACGTTCGGGAAATTTCCCGTGATTTAATTGTAATTGATAAGACGAACGGGGTCATTTCGTTTTACTTTTGGAGGGCGTCACGGGTATAATAAATGAAAAAATAGGTGCTCATTTACGCTTTTCGGAAGGTAGTAAGCAAACTTGGAAAAAAAAAAAAGAATAATAATCTGAAAACAGAATTATTCCTTGAATTGGACGGCACCTGCTGTACTGTATGTACGTTTTCTTAGCACTCGCTACCCAGACCCTCTTATTACCTCCGAATTAATAATTGTATTGCGTCGGCGCTTGGACTCGTCGAATTTGCACCTCAAGTAGTTGTGCTGCTCCCACGGTGCTAACGCTGAGTGTGTGCGCCTAGGTGAAGCATGAGCCATGTCCGGCGACGCGAACCACCTCGCTGGTGACGGCCCGCTCGCGTGGTGAGTGTTTACCATCTAAAGTTAATTGTGTAGGTTTCTTTAGAGTTAATTATCAGCTTCTTTCTTTGGTATAAACTCTAACTCTGTAGAGTTAACCACCGTGAAGGTTCCTTCTAGTTAATCGCGTGTATAGGTCTCTTATTTGTTGCTTTTCTTTGTAGTAGTAGTAGTTGCAACATGTCAGTTGTTTACTTGTGCTTAAAATTTCGAACGTTCTATCACACGTAGCATTTATATCGGCTAAAATCTTTGCCTAAATATAGTGGGTACTGCTCTCTCTCTCTCCGCGGGCATGTTCGGGTGTGCATACACATAGTAAATGTATTTGTATGTTTTTGTGCAAATGTTCGCACTAACTTAAACCACGTTTCGTTTCGCAGAAATTTGTATGACAAAGTGCATGCTTTGCTACAAATAAATGCACAAAAGTGTTCAAATCAATGCAGAAATGTGTACCAAAAAAATCAATTGCTTAAGTTCGTACAAATAAAAGATACAAATCCAGTTAGTGTGTATCGACTAATGGCGCCCCGCGATGACGCCTTACGGCCCGAACGAGCAGGCAACGCGCCCGTACTTCGTGCATGGCGGTACAGTCTACCCCCGAGCAGGCGGGGGCTTGAATCAGTCACCCTGGTAACACAAATACGGAAGATTATTTGCATGCTCACACTTGCCACTAATAAAGTCACTCTGGTGCAAATATAATCGCGCGATAATGCCAAAACTAACATACGCTTATACTCTGTCGTCCTCCGCGGCGCCCCGTTCGATATGTCGCATCATTTACCAAAACTGATTTACTAATTACCTCGATTTGATTTGAGTGGCATTGCCGCGTAGCCCATCCATCCCCGCAGGGGGTCGTTAAATAAAACATTGCCTGGGCTGTTGTGGACTGAGTGTGAATCGATTTTTTAAAAACGCCCCCCCCCCTTTTCCTCTCCTGCGCGTGTCATCCCCGTGGGGTGCGGCGGTATGGGAAGTAGGTCGCTCTGCTGGCCCGGGCTTGGCCCCGGGGCTCACGGGATTATTTGATTTATTTGAACAGTCGCGCGCGGCGGCGTTGCGCTGGAGCAGCAGCAGCAGCAGCAGCAGCAGCAGCAGCGGGGATCAGGGATCACGCTGGCGGCGCCAATCAGAGCGCCATTCACTGTGCGGCGCGTGCGCTGGGTGTATGGCGGCGGAGCCCGCGGCATGCAGAAATTTGGCGCGAAAAATAAATTGTTGGGTATGTCGTATCGTCCCGCTGCGCCGTGACGGGCGGTCGGGCGCGCACGGTTTGTGATTGCACTTGACAAGTCGTCACACTGTCGATTTGAAGGCGGGTTTTTTCATTCTTTCCGGGGATTTTTGTTGGCCTTATGCTGATTAACTCTGAAGTGTTGAGACGTTTGTCACACTTGGTAGGCCTGAACATTACCACCGAAATTGAAAGACGCACACTTCTGTTTGTACACATCAGTTGGGCACACTCTAGTGTGAGACTGTCTCACACTTGAGCTATCAGTGTATGCGAACCAGCCCCCTTGCTCCCCGTCGTCCCCATAGCGCGAGCTCTCGACCCCCACGCTCCCCTTACCCCCTCTTCCTTTTCCCCTCCCGCGTGAGGTAGGTGGGGGAAGTCCCGCAGGCCCAAAGCTCTCCGCGCGTTGGTGCCACCTGTGCGGGCGCTGTGCGGCGCTGTGCTGTGCGCGCGGCCGCCGAGCCTGCCCCTGCCAGGCGTGCCCATCTGTTCGCGCCGCGCTAAGGCGAAAATTGCAAAACGCTGCGCAATAATTTTCGAGGGTCGCGCGGCGGCCCCCGGTGTTTGCCGCGCGGCGTCCCGCAGACAGACGGACAAACGGACGCGTCCGGACGTCGCGCGTTTCTGTAAAGCTGGGCGCTGCGAGCTCTGTGCGTTTACTGTGTACACGGCAGCAGTTACACACGTGCTTTAATCTCTCCAGAGCGCACCTAATGACCTACCATCACGGTCCCGGAGAGCAGGTCCCTCACGAGGAGAGGCTGAAGCAGGGCAGGGCTCTAAAGCTCCGTACGCGCGTGACGTCACAGTGGCGCGCGGCGGGGCGAGGCGTGGCGGGGGAGAGAAAGAGGTTGGCCAACAGCTGTGGTTTTGGACAAATTACGGGTGCCCACCATAGCCCCCTCACCACTGCCTGCTCCGCCCCCCTGCTCATTCCCTCAGGACCCTGCACACAGGCTATCAGCGCGCGCCGCCTCTGGGGTTGGCTGCACGCCGGGGGGTGCGGCGGATCGAGTTTGCCCCCGTTCGTTTCGTCGTCGTGGGTTCGAGTCCCCCCTGCTTCGCCTCCCCCGCGCCGCAGCTGGGCTGCGCGACGAGCGGGCGGCGGCGGTGGTGGTGGCGCTCCCGCGGAGATCCAATTTTCTTTTCGCCGCTCGCAACCCCCTTTTTGTCCCCCCTTTTTCTTTTCCCCCTTCTTTTTTTTTCGATGTACACCGTCCGGCACACCAGCACTCGTGATGACGCGCCGTGTCGTGGACTTTGCAACGCGGTGCGGATGGACGCCCGGCGGTGTGCGCGGCGATGACGCGACGCTCGTTCGTATGTTCTCAGTAGAGGTGAACGACTCGGCTAATTGTGAGGGGGGGGGGGGGACCCTCTGGCGGAGACGGACAGGCGACGAATAGCACGCGATTTGGCTGCGAAGGCTCGCCGCCCCGCGGCCCGCCCTGCTGCTGCTGCTGTCTCCGTCAATTATTCTACTTGTCAGTGTTTCGCGACGTCCTGCTGCTGCTTCATAGGGGAACCAGGCCGGTGCCGGTGGTATTGAGCGCCGTTTTTTGGAACGTGGTTTTCTGCTTAGGAAGTGGGAAGAGGGGGGGGGGGGAGGAGGGAATTTTGTGACAATATTTTGGGGAATGCACCTGGGGCAACATTGTGCAACATTTTAAAGATTCGTTTTTGTTGGGTTTTTTTGTCCCTGTTTTGACTGGCGGTGTAAGCTGGTCTTGCAGTATGAGGCCCTGGGCCCTGGAGTGGCCTGGCGTGGCTCGGGAAGATAAAAGCTCTCCGGCTCTTTGCTGGGCTTCCGATTGGCGTCCCCCCCGCGCGCGCGCGCGCACGGGCGTAAGCACAGGGGGGGCGCCCCTAAGGAAGCCCTTCCACCACTCCCGCCCCCGCCCCTCCTCACCACCACCACCACTACTACCACTACGGTCCTCTCCCCCCCCCCCGCCGAGCTAGAGGCCCCGCGCCGCCACTACACGCTCCGTCCTCGCCGCTGTCCCACTGACCCACTAAGCCGTTAGCGTGGCGTGGCGTTGTGGTGCGGGGCGCGGTGGGGCGCGGCGGGGCGGGGCACGGGTGCTGCGCGCGCGGGGCGCCAGGGTGGCCGCCCGCCGTGGCTGATAGCTGTGCCGCCTTTGCTTTCGGTCGGCGCGGTGGTTTGGATGTGGTTCCCGCGAGGTCCGGTCTGGGTCCGCTGGTTCAAACCAGTCGCACGTCTTTTACATTTGTTTTTGTATTTTTATTTCTTTTTTCGGCTGGGATGCTGAGGGAAAGTCACTTGCACACCAATGTGGCCGTGGAAGGTTCCCCGGGCGCGGCGCGCGCGTGATTTTCAGCCTTTTTCTTCGCAGAATCGTGTGCGAGGTGGCGGCAATACCCGCCTCCGTGAGTCAGGCATGGGATGGGCACGCACGGTTCCTGGGACCGGTGTGCGAGTCAATCGGGAGGTATGGCGAGCGCGTAACGCCCCATAGGGTTGTAGGTCGACCTGGGGACTTTCCCTTTTGGTTTTGGCAGTCTTTGAGTCACTCATGGGCTGTCATTCGGAGAAAAGTGTGTAGGGAGTTGCTGGTAAAGTTAAGTTTGGGGGGGGGGGGCTTCAGTATCAGGGGTACGCTGCAGTCCCCTCTCTCTGGCAGGAAAGTAAACTGCGAAATCAGGCAGCAGAGATGCTCGCTATCTTTGTTGCAAAAGTTTTTGGCGCGCTGTGAAAAGGCTTGTCTTTATCAACGCTGGTCGGTCCGAGCAAAGGAGGGCGGGGGAGGAGGAGGAGGATGGGGGTAGAGGGGGGCGTTGGTTTGGGCAGCGACAGAGGGTTAGCGGTGGTGGTGGGGCTGGGCGGGCCTGGGCCGGAGGCAGCTCGGCTCGCACCGTGGCATTGAAACGTGCCTGCGATCACGCCCCACCGCCCCGCTGCTCCAGCCCTCCCTCCCTCCCGGCCGTGCCGTGCCGCTGTTACCCGCAGTTGAGTAACGTTGCACAACCACCACCGTGCCTCGCCGCGGAGCACCGCGCGGAGCAGCGCGGAGCGGGCCCGTCCGGAGCTAGGCGGGGCGCGGCGGCGCGGCGGGCCTGAGCGAGTCGCCGCGGCGCCCCGCGGGCGGGGCGGGGTGGGGCGCGGCACGGCGGGGCGGGCGCCGCGCCACGGGCACCACCATCAAGGGGAAGGCCTCAAGGGGCTGGTGGTGGTGGGGATGCCTGGCGGAGGCAGTGGCAGCAGCAGCAGATCGTGCTTGCCTGCTGCTGCTGCCTCCTGCAGCACCGCGCGCGCTGCTGCGATTCAAGGTTCGCGAACCTTCAGCTGCAGCCGCTCCAGAGCGAGCCGGGAGAGTAACTCCAAGTGTATTGGGGAGATGCACGTCGTTGCATGCCTACCCGTCGGGAGTAGTAGGCATGTCGTGGTTATTGTCCTTTGTTGTGTTTTTCGGTGAGGGGGTTGGGGGCTGCCTAAATGGTCCGACAGGCTCTGTAAGAAGAACTCTGCCGTGTCACCAGAGAATGTTGCGTCTCACATCTCTGGCAGCCGCGCTGCTCTACTTTGTACTGGTGCGCTAATGCCTCCCCGCTCGCTCTCGTTGTAGGGCTGCTTGATGCCGCCTGAACCCAAAGCACGGCGGCCGGCGCACAGCCTTGACGCTAGTTCGCTGCGCTCCGCCTGCTCGGCCTGCTCGGCCGTGCCGCGTCATCAGGTGTTTCAGGCGGAGCGAGCTGGTCTCTGAGAGCGCCCGGGCTTTTGTGTCCAGCGAGC